GCAGCAAATAAAATGGATGATTTTCAGACTTTCAGTGCAGTTTATTTCTAAAATAATCCATTCAAATAAATATTTTGTATAAGGCCAACTTAGCATAGTTTAAGTACGTATATTCAATTTCTAGTCTTTCAATCAAAATCTATTTCATTTAAAACTAATTAAATCAAAACAATGAATTACTGATGAAGAATGCAAGGCGAAATATCTCACAAATAAATTTCAGAAGAAAATTTTCATTTGATTAAATTATGATTGGTAAATACTGAGATGCATGTGTTCTCGAAGGATTCAGCGATTTATTGATTATTTTTTTAGGATTTGTCTAATCTGAAACATTAAAAATTATAATAGGCAAATTCTTTAAATCCATTATGCTAGATATATAAAGTTTATAGTTAAATTCTGAAAGGAATGTAATGTTGAGAGATTTGGTGAGTTATTGTGTATTTTTCTTCAAAAATTACTTAATTTCCAATATTTGATTTTGGGAGAAAAAAATTGATAAGTAAATTTTGATAGGCAGATTAGGAATATATGTAATATTGAGAAATTCAGTAATTGCATTTTATTAAAAAATTACCTAATATGAGTTATTTACGTTTGTCAAAAATTTATTTTTTTTCCCAAAACGATAGACAATTTTATATATCAAAACGAACAAATGTGCGAAGACCGTCTATAACCGCAACGCTAGAAACCAAAAACAAGACTCACAACACGACACACACTACAAACACTAAAGAACTAAACAAACTACAAAACTCCCAAAAAGAGAATAAACAGAAAACGATCCTAAGGGATAATCATACAGAGGCCGGCCCAAACAAAACACACGAGGCCAAACAAAACAACATAAACAAACAACAAACCTAAAACAAATCCAAAAACACTCTATTAATTGTTGACAATGAATATTAAATTTCATAACTAAATGGTTACAGCTTTGTCCTTTTAAAAAATTATTATTTTGAATGTTTTTAGAGTTGGTCCCCAAATTTCGATTAATGAAAAAATAACCCCAAATAAAATTCTTCAAATATTTGAAAATAACTTCAATACTAGTATGACACCCGTGTACTACACGGGTTTGGTTGAAAAAAAATATAAAATATAAAATAATATAAAAAACCACATGTTGTCATATAAAAGTGCAAAAATAGAAAAATACTTAAATTCAATATTATTTCAATTTTTGAAAAATTTCTTTGTACACAACATTAATAGTTTTATTTACCATTTTTTTAAAATTATAATAATTTAATTTTATATAAAACATTACTTTGGGCTTTAATTAAATTATCAAATTATACTTTTTTAATCATAACAATTAAACACCCGTACATTAAATGAAATTGTCAACCCGTATTGATTTTTTTTACTTATATCATATTAAAATATCGATATTATTTACTATTACATAAGTACAAAAATATATATCTTAAAGAAATAGAAATAATATGGTGATATGTATATGCATAAATGTATAATATGTTTATTTAATATTAAGCAAAATAGATTAACTTTTTACTTAATTAGATGCCTAATACATCAAGTGTCATATGAGTTGTGCTTCACAGTTTTTTAACTTTATATGTAATTTTAGAATTTAGATAAATAATTATTTATTTTTATTAGATTGACAAAATACTAATTAGATTTGAAATAAATATCATTTTTAAAAAAATACATACCAATTTCTATTGTTTTATAATATAATTTATAGTTTTATTTCATATAATTTAATTTAGTTTGATAAATAAATTTAAATTTTATTTATAAGGATATATATTATTGTTTGGTATTTATATATGTAATATGGATGTCAAATCGAAAATCATTAAAAGATAGTTAATTTGATATATCATATATGAAAAATAAAATACAAAAAAAAAAGTTATAAAATCTTAAAATAAGAAGAAGAAACATTTACAAAATTTAATGAACGAATTATATAATAAAATGAAAAGCCCAAATTAGATTTGAGGGCCCAAATAAATGACTCAAGTCTGAGTCTAGGTGATGAACAAATTGATTGGAAGAAATTAATTTGGAAATAATTTCGACATTTGGAATTAATTTGGTAGCGAAGAAGTAGTTTATTTTGAGAGAGTTGTGACATAATAAGAGTCTGAGAATTATTTTCGCACAAGGAGAGAAAAAAAAAGAGAAAAAAAATATTATATATTAATTTATATTCAAGTCTAACTCTAAAGCATAGTTTTTTGCCATATAGGATTCCAAAGCATGAGAGTTTGCCACGTAGCTCAGCGTATTCTGAAATTATATATAGAGGGGATAAGTTCTATCCTTTCATAGCTAGGATTTCGCGTGATAGATTTGGTTGTTCGCGTTTTTGCACAAAAAAACATTATTGGCGGTTTTGACCAAATAAAAGAAGTTGAAATGTTTTTTCTTAATTGGCTTTCACTCGGACTAGTATGTACCTCGTGCGATGTACGGACAATAATTATAATTATATGTATTAAAGCAATGGAGTAATATTAACTAGTATAAAAATAATCTTGAATATTAATAATTATTATTTTTTATTTTAAGATATATAATAATTTAATAGATGATTCATATGTTAATTTCAAAATAATTTTCATTTTAGATCATGTTTATAATCAAAGACAATGAAAATTTAAGATATTTTCTCTTACTCATACATTGTACAATATATTATTTCGATTCGTAAATAAGTTAGGCTAAAGTTGAAACATTGTGGCAAATATTATAACCAAGACTTAATTAAAAAATATAAATATATTATTTTGAAGTTAAGAATATTATTAATTTTTAATTACCTTAATATTATTTTATTTTTCTTATAATTAATAATATTATAAGTATTTACTATTTCTTTCTAATCTATTAATTTATATGAGATTTGTTATGATATTGTGCATCGCAATATGAATTTTTTTTTAAAAAAAAAAAATTGGTTTGGCGCAATTATTAATAAATTCAAAGGATATTTTTGAACTATTTGAATAGATGATTTTTGGTATATGCGAAAAGAATAGAAAATTGTAGCGATTATTATTAATGTTGAGATATTGATTCTACTATATTATATCAATAAGACTCTTGCAATTGATTTCTAAATTTATTTGTTATTATACTTTTGCAATGTTTACACGCATATTTCGGTCTACATATGGCTGGATACTCAACAAAACATGAGAACACATGATTTGTTATTAAGGATAAAGATTGGTTTGTTATTAAAGACAAATAGTTAATTTTGATATTTTAGAAAATTGGGTATATAATTTTTTGAAAAACTGGAACGACTGAGTTATTGATATACCAAAGGATTCTAAATTAATCCTCTCGATGAAAATGATTTTTTGAAGATACGATAAAAAATATATTGGTATATTGTTGGTTACATACACTTTAAATTAATTTTGAAAACTCTAAATGTCGTATTTAATATTGTTGGTTACATACGCTTTAAATGATTTTTTGAAGATACGATAAAAAATATATTGGTATATATTGGTAAGAATTAATTTTTGTTGCGATAATTCTAAAAGTCGCTAGGCGCCCGCTAGGCGCTCGACCAGCGCCTAGCGCCTAGAGCGCCTAGTTGGGGCCTAGGCGACGCCTAGTTGGGGCACAGAAATCAATATTAAATACCTTATTTTCTATTTATTTTAACTACGTACAAAATAAAACTATCTCAACTTATAATAAATTCACACACTAAAGTCCAAATAATAATATTAATATATATTAAAGAAAACATGAGAACAAAACAATGTAATTAGTATTTAAAAAAAT